GGGGTAAGTTAAACTTAAGAAACTCGAATGGGCCTCACGGGTAGTAATAGGAACCAAAGCCAGCAAACCACATCCAAACCACCTCTCGGGCAAGGGTAAGGCAAAGCAAACCAAGCTCTCAAGTCAAGCCAAGGCTGAACCACAGCTAAGGTTCGAGTTCGGGCTACAACAAAATAGTAGAAAACATTTTCGTACCCCTGAGACATCAAAATATAGAACCAACACATGCCATGCACAAGAACAACTACAGAGTCCTTCCGAACCAACATAAACATCCACCACACATATATTTGAGCTAAGACATCGGTGGGATGCCAAAACCGAGCCCAACATAGGCCAAACAAAGCAAACACAGCCCCCAACTAGAGCCAAACCGAACCCAACAAGGCTAAAACAAGCAAACGCAGCCCCCACTTTAGAGCCAAACCGAGTCCGGCAAGGCTAAACAGAACAAACACAGCCCCCAACTAGAGCCAAACCAAGTCCAGTAGAGGCCGAACTCAAGAGCTCTTAAAGCTAGGAAGAGAGCTTCAACATCTCAATAAAAGTCAAGACTCAAGTCTCCACAAAAGTCAACACCCCATACTCCTGAAATGAAAAATCGAGCACCAACAAAAACCCAAAACCGAGACTCCAAATCAAGCCAAAACCGAGCTCAACAGGAACCAAAAGCCATACAATATTAAAGATCTAGCCATTTTAAGCCCAAGGAACAACCTGCATGTCTAAACATTCCAAGCATGAAGTTATTCCAACAAATATATGAACAGGGGAGGAACTTCACGAGGAGCTAAACCCAGCCCTCAGAACAAGCTATAACACTTTTCAAATTAAATAAGTTTTCTCATAGCATATATTTCAAGCCAGGGAAAGCCACATGAAGCCAAAACCGAGCCCCCAAACATGCATAAAACAGTAAAATGAACTCCCTAGCATTCATTTTTAAGCAAGAGCAAGTCTTAAGATGCCAAAGCCGAAACCTCCCTAGCATGCATGAAAGCCCCTATAAATTCTTCAATATCTCATGCTAAACGAAAGATAAGCGGAAAGTTTAACAATACACATCCCAACATGCTTGCAAGAGGAGTAGAAATTATTCCAAAACCATGCTTCAATTATCCAAATCGCAACCAACATAAATATGATGCAATAAACAGAAAACATGCCACCGTTTTAAGCAAATATTCAAATCTAAATCCTAAAACATGCTCACATTTCATCCTTCACATGCTGTTAAAGTGAATACCTCAAAAATGTATGAAAGTAAAGTGAACCAGCATGCTGTATTATCCAACAGAACTATACTCAAGGCTCGGCAGAGGGAAAACCAAAAAGCAACGAGGCACTGAGGAAAAAGGGGGGGGAGAAGAGTACCTCTATAATGCCAAAGTAAAGCACTGCAACTCAAGAATTCACCTCAAAGAAACGTTCTCACAGAAATCTCCTCCTGGAATTCTCCCACAGCCAAAAATTTCTACTCTCGTTTCAGAAAACTTTTCTTAACAACCTTAAAAATTTCAAAAGGAACTGTGTTTATAGGCAGAGAATAGAGGAGAAGAGAAAAAAGACCACCCCCAACAGTCCACGACACTCGAATCGGGTCAAAGAAGAAAAGGACACGCTCCCTGCTCACAGAAGGCGAAGCCACCAACGTCTCTTGGACCTA